AGGCATTTCCAAAGGGGCAGAGGACAGGGGTCCCCTCCCAGGCAAACGCTGTGGCTGCAGCTCAGCTGCTTCGTGTTTTATTGCTAATGCCACCGGGGCCAGCGTGTGCCAGGATGTGAGCGATGAGAAAAGCAGCACTTGGCAATCGAGACTTCTAGACTGTCTGATGGGACCTGTTAGAGAGCAGGCACCGTTCTTCATCCTAAAACGTTCAAGTGATGCCCACCCTTTTAGGAATTGACCTTGGGAAACCTTCAGGCTGGTTTTCGGAGCTGCAGAAGGGGTTACCTACTGCCTGCGATTGTCTTGGCTTTTTGATGCCTCAAGGAGTAAGGAAGCTTGTAACTGATACTTTGGTATTTATTGTCACTTAAAAATAGCTTGGCAATCAAGAGAGAGGAACTGCTCTGCTCAACGCTCATCTTGCAGGAGGAAGGAGGTCAGCAATTTAGCCCAGAAAAGGTCAGGCTGCTGCTCCGTAATGGGGTGTAGGATTGCGAGCCAGAGAAGCTTCGCTCCCGTCATTAACGAGCGTTACAGGAGCAGAGGACAGGTTTGCCCAGGCAGAAGGAAATTACCCGACTGCACGAGCTGCCCCATGAAGGCAAAAGGCAAATGACAAGGTCACGTCTGTGTCCTTCGCCTACAAACCCCAGGAGCAGCATTTGCCTTCCCCAGCACAGGCAGGGCCAAGGGTCAGTGCTGGGCTTCACCGTGCCCTGGGACCCTCCCCGCACCCCAATTTATAGAATCAGGGAATGGTTTGGGTTGGGAGGGACATTTAAAGGTCACGCTGCTGTGACAGGGACATCTTCAACCAGATCAGGTCGCTCAGAGCCTCGTCCAGCCTGACCTTGAATGTTTCCAGGGATGGGGCTTCTCCCACCTCTCTGGGCAACCTGGGCCAGGGTTTCACCACCTTCAGTGTAAAACATTTCTTCCTCACATCTGGTCTAAATCTCCCCTCTTTTAGTTTAAAACCATTTCCCTTATCCTATCCCTATCTGTCCATGTAAAAAGTATCTCCCCTCTTTTAGTTTAAAACCATTCCCCTTGTTCTATTGCTAAAAAGTCTGTCCCCATCTTTCTTATAGACCCACTTCAAGTACTGAAAGGTGCAATGAGGTCTCCCTGGAGCCTTCTCTTCTCCAGAACCCCAACTCTCTCAGCCTTTCCTCACAGCAGAGCTATTCCAGCCCTCTGAACATCTCTGGGGCTTCCTCTGGACCTGCTCCATCACCTTGGTGCATCCCACATCCCTCCAGCCGCAGCCGCCCATCCCACTTGCTCCCAGGGAACCTTCAATCCCTTTTCAAGTATTTTTGGTGGGAGCTCAGACCCTCCCAGCCCACAGCAGGAAGACTGGGGGACCCGTTAGTACCACACACAGGCTGGGGGGACCGGTCACCCCCGGCCACTGGAGCCTCCCACGGGCAGAGCACGGTCCCCATCTAGTGGGGAGCAGCAGGGGGAGCCGGGTGGTCCCGTCCAAGCCCCCCAGCAAACCCTCCAACCCTCCTCCCACCGACAAACCCCTGACCTTTTCCCAGCAGCAAGAGGGGAAGCGCATGATCCCTAATAAATTGCTCACCCCAGGCTCTTGCTCAAACCTTTAATTAAAAGTAGTTGAGTAACTCCAAGATCACAGTGATCGGCATTTCAATCCCAGCCCAGCAAATGCATCCATCAAACAAACACAGAACTCTGGTCTTAATTGTGTTTTCTCCTAATTGCACCAAATACTTAAGCTCGTATCCTTCACCCAAGAGGTTCCCTGTCACCCACTGGCCGTAACAAACTGGCAACGCAGAAATACATCTCTAAAGGCTTCTCCATCCAGAACCAGGGCAGAAGAACACCTCTAACAGCTTCTCCATCCTGAGCCAGCAGAGAAAAACACCTCTAACAGCTTCTGCATCCAGAACCAGCAGAGACAAACACCTCTAACAGCTTCTCCATCCAGAACCAGTGCAGAAGAACACCTCTAACAGCTTCTCCATCCCAAGCCAGCAGAGACCAACACTTCTAACAGCTCCTCCATCCAGAGCCCCACTCCTGGAAGTATTCCCACTGCTGTGAGGAGCCAACAACCTGCCCAAGCCCCACAGGCTGGCTCTGCCCTGCGACCTCCCACAAAATAACTCCCTGGTTTACACCACGCGATGGCTCCCAGCCTCTCCCACTGAAAGTGAACGCTCCCTCATTTATTCCCAGGTTTTCCCACTAATTTGGCCACGTACCTGCTTCAGAATAACAGCCACACACGTCAGTGAGGGGCACGGGGGGGATACAGGAGTTTGGCAAAGCGCAGAGCACAACTACACCCCCCACCGCGCCGCTGCACGACTCTGGGTTCCTCTACGCCTTCTAACTCGCCGTTGGGCTGACCAGCCGAGCCAGGTTTGGGCAACAGACACAGAGACAAGTTGGGAATGCTCTGCCCACAGAGCCACCCCTGGGGGCTTTTCCAACACAAAATAAAGGAGAAAATTAATTCCAACTTTCTCCTTGTCTGTTCTGCACAGGAGCTCACCCAGGACACACTGCAAAGCTGCTGCTCGGGTCTGTTCTAAATTTAATCTGTTATTATTGCTCAAGGTGCTTCAGGTGACTATGGGGAGAGCCAGGCAAGCTCAGTAAGGATGCAAGAGTGAAGCTGGTTAGAGCAGATGAAAGGAGAAGACTTTTTAAGTAATATTGGCAACGTTTTAGAGACATGACAACAAACAGAGACCACCCAGTGAGTGAGAAATCTCTCCTGTGTTACTGTGTTCAACTTCATAGCACTACTTCTCCTTTTAAAGCATGTCCATTTGCAATTTTTGGCAAGTGAAGAACATCACCAACAGTTAAAAATGTAAAACAGAATGCTCAAAATAATTGTTTTTACCTCTGTAACAATCCACAAAAGGCAAAGACACAAAGCTGCAGCGTAGGAGACACAGAGTGGTTGGTCTCCTCCCTCGGGATGGTGATAAATGTTTGGCCCAAGCAAGAAAATCAGGTGCAAGGAGGGAAATTCACATCCCAGCCGCCGGAGATTTCCTACCAAGGGCAGCTTGCCTTGGTCTGCAGCCAGACAGAGACAGCTGCGATGGAAGGAACCCTCCCAAAGGCTGACTGCAGGTGAGTGAAGGGCTCCCCACCAGTCACCCCCAGTACGTGTCTCCTCTCCAGTGCTCTCTGAGGCTGAACCCCATTTTAATACATTTTTATCATGTTTATGTGAACTCAGACACTTGACCCAGCACGGTGGTTCCAACACCTGGATACTGGAGGCGAGAGTGTCCCTTACACTCACCTCCACGAGGCTGCGACGTGTGGATTTAGTGAGGTGGGTGGTAATTCCTGCTCCACAGGGAAGAACCTTGCTCAGGCAGGAGACATGTCACCAAGGTCAGCTCTGGAAAGATCCCCCCGAGCTCACAGCTAAAGCAGCGCCAAGACAGAAGGATTTATGCTCTTTGTAACAGAATCTGGCTCCCCTCTAGAGTCACAGAGCAGAATTAGGAATAAAGTTTGACCTTCCTTGGATAACTAACTCTGCTGCAGTTCCACTGCCAGCAGGAAATGAATCAAGCCACACAAAACCAAACCTTGGCATTTTTAAATCCTCTTCTTTACTGCCACAAAACACAGATTCATGAGTTTTTTTGCACCACACACAGCAGCAGTGTCACTAAACCACACTGTGGAGAATGGTTCTGGGAGGTGGGTATGAAAGGGGAGGAAACTCTCCTTTTCTGTGTAGGGGAAGAGCCAGACAAGGAGGGAGAGATGAGATCTATTTGACATGAGTTACAACTGTTAGTTTCTGGTGGTAGTTTGGGTTTTTTTAAGAAGAAAACACAAACAAAAAAGGAAAAACCATAAAGAAAAAACACAAAGGGAAAAAATCCACAAACAAAAAGAAAACAATCCACAAACAAAAAGGAAACAAACAAAGAAGCATAAACAAACAGGAAAGAAGCATAAACAAACAGGAAAGAAGCATAAACAAACAGGAAAGAAGCATAAACAAACAGGAAAGAAGCATAAACAAACAGGAAAGAAGCATAAACAAACAGGAAAGAAGCATAAAAATAATATAAACAAAAAGGAAAAATAAAAACAAAAAGGAAAAGACACAAACAAAAAAGAAAAAAAGCCACATTAATTGTTTTTCATATAGCTCAAAGCCAAAATCTTTAATAAAAACTAAGCTAGGCCCTGGAGTTTGCAGTCAGGGGAAGAATGAAATCCTCATCAGCTCCAAATCCCAGTAAGACTGACAGTTATTGTCTTACATTGTTCTCTGCCAAAGTAGCAGTTCTCTGCAGCAGCACTCGACTTCCTCTTCAGCAAACACTGGGACCATCGTGTCTTCCACACTTTTGAGGTGACCAATTTCATTAAGAGTCACTAAAAAAAACAGTAAAGGTCCAAATTATCCGGTACAGTTACACTTTACCTTACTCTGAATTTGAGCAAATGATGGAATATGAGGAGTGTGTCATGAAGCTGATATAATTAGCAACTCTTCTCCATTAGCTATAAAAAGGTGACACTTCAGACGGCTGCTGGAACGCATCAGGCAAGCGGTAGCTGCCATGGCAAGAGCAGGACTGTCACAAGGCCTGCACCGTCAAGTGCAAGAAGTTAAGAAACATCTTTACTACCGCAAATGAGACACCTGAAGAGACAGAACTTCCAATTTTTGAAGAAAATGTTTAATTTTCCACTTTTATACTCGATATTTTCTAAACTCTCAATTTGAGATAACATTCCTGAACCTCAAAAAAAAAAAAACCTGTATTATCTCAAATTTTACGAGTGGGGAGATGGAAGAACAAGGATGTGCAGAGGCCCTAGAGCCGGAGAACAGAGGCACATTCCCCCAGAGAAAGTGCCTCATAACCACCCGGTGGTGGAGGCGGCAGCGCTGGCTCCTGAGCAGTGACTGCCACAGCCAGGGCACATCCTGCAGCAGAGTGTCCCAGGACAACACAAAAGCACGGCTGTTAGGAGGGATTTTCCTTCTGTGTTTCTGCCAACTCTGGTGTCTGCTCCTCCCGATCTTTCCTCTTTTCCTGTATCTCTTCCAACACAGTCTGAAGCTGCAGGTGTAATACAGAATCCCTGGTTTCAACGTCCTGATGATCCTGTTGTGCTCCCTACAGTTAAAGACAGACAATGGCCAAAAAAACAGGGTTGTAAAAAGCTTCTGTTGAAGCATAAACTGAAAAGAGCAACAGAAAGCAACAGCTCCAGTTTGTATGTCCCAAAAAAGGCTGATAGAAAAGTTCCAATTCATGCTTAGATTATTTTTGAGGTACAATACAGAGTTAAGGTATCACCAGGGCTAGAACCATGAGACAGCTGACCTCAACCTAAGGATGGAAGGGAGTGATTTCAGCTTTTCACAGGCTCACAGGGCAGGGCACTTTAAGCAGAACCAATTTCTGTTCCTTTTCAGCCTCTTTTTTTTGGGGGAAAGCACTACAGACACCCAGTCCAGAGGCAAGTGGACGATGAGGAGAATGGAGAGTGTATTACAAAGGAAACAATACATTAATTTTGCTAAGAGTTTAAAAATGCAGCTGTGACAAACAGCTCTTCTCACCTCTTTTTGAGGGTGTTCAACTAAAAGGATGGCATTCTCAGAAGACATGGTACTCAGGTTAAAAGATGCCCAACCATCACAGAGCAGCCATGGGCTACTCTACCCAACGTGCTGTTCTAGAAACATCTTCAGTTTGGTTTTTTACCCCATTTTCTGTTAAGAGGTACACTACAATTGCCAGAAGTAACGAGGAATTAGACTCCACATGCCCAGGAGCCTTTCCTCCTCTTGTACGTCAGGGGAAACAAAAAGCAGTGGCAGGACACTTTGGACAGTTATTTACTTGTCAAAAATACAACACCCCCCAGACTACAATCCTCTAGTTCAACACCTTTAAAAAACAAACAAACAACAAACCCAAACTGCAAGACTTATGCAAAAAATTCCAGTTCAGGATGAAGATTAAAGAACAAGAGCGAGTGCATTAGACTCCTTAACGATTAAAAAGGGGTGGAAAAGCGTGTTAATTATCTCTGAACCAGAAGAGGTTCCAATTTACCCCCTGCTACCTTCCAGAGATAACAAGTGTACAGTAACACAGATAAGTATTTCCAAATGGTTTCTACAGACAGGCAGATGGATGATTTGAAAGCACTGAAGACTTGAATCTTCCATCGCCAGAACAAGCACCTCTCTTCTCTGTCCCACAAGAAGAACCTGAACCTGGGCCACTCACAATCATGACTGAGAGGAAAGTTTACTCTGCACAGCAAAGACATTTGATTACAACCATCAGGCGTGTGACTGTGAGAATTTAATTCAGACTAATTCAGCATGAAGAGCCTGGAAGTGAAGTTTTCTGAATCCACTGGCCAAACAACACTGTGAATATTTAATACTTACTCTCTCTGTTCCTCTTCTCTGTAAAATGACCCCACTGGCTAAAAGGGCTTTTCCTGTTTCTTCAAACAATTTTTCTTCTTCAATTTTTCCTTCTTCTTTCAGTTCATAGAATTTTTCGACAAACCTAGAATTCAAGAGTGTATTTTTACTCTCACAAATGACATTTTGGTTCACTCACTCGAGAGGAGAAAAGGACAAGTTTCAGAAATATTTCTGGTTTAATTATAAATCAGTCTTACCTCTGGCAAGTAGATTTGTAGTTTGCTTGGGACAGGTCGAAAGCTCTTGGACCACTGCCATAAATTCTGTAAAATCTCCTGTTCAAAAAAGAGAGTTTCATTTTTCAAACCATCGAAAAGGGACGTGTCTTGGAGTAAATAAACAACATCAGTCACTTAATTTAGGCTGCAACAAAAAGTATTTACAGAACTATGTCTCCTTTCCCCATTAGCTAATATGTTACACAGAGATGTTTGTCCAAGCATTTTAAAAATCGTTTTAATAAATTCTAATTAATCTTCAAACATGGAGTAATGGCTTTAAACTAGCAGAGGGGAGATGGAGATGAGATGTGAGGAAGAAATTCTTTGCTGTGAGGGTGGTGAGACACTGGCCCAGGTTGCCCAGAGAAGCTGTGGCTGCTCCTCCCTGGAAGCGTTGAAGGCCAGGCTGGATGAGGCTTTGAGCAACCTGGTCTAGTGGAAGGTGTCCCTGCTGATGGCAGGAGGGTTGGAACTGGGTGAGCTTTAAGGTCCCTTCCCACTCAAACCAGTCTGTGATCCCTTTCCCACTGCAAACCAGCACCTGCCTGGAGCCAGCCCCCTCACACCTCTGCCAGCATTCACAAACACAGGAGATAACCCAGTACAAACAGGTGATGTGGTTTCTCTGCCACACACAACAAGGAGAGAAAACACTGAGGGCAGGAGTGGTGACACCCAGGGCGGCTGCTCCCCCCATGGGGCTGGGACCAAGGGGCAGAGGAACAAGGACAAGAGGAAATGGCCTCAGGTTGCACCAAGGGCAGTTGAGATGGGATGTGAGGAAGAATTTCTTTGCTGAAAGGGTTCTGAGGCATTGGAAGGGGTTGCCCAGGGCAGTGGTGGAGTCCCCATCCCTGGAGGGATTGAAGAGTCGTGTAGACACAGTGCTGAGGGACATGGGTTAGTCATAGGGGACTGGTCAGTGTTGGGTTAACGACTGAGCTTAAAGGGCTTTCCCAGTCCAGGCAATGCCGGGGCTCTGTGAAGGCCCCGGCGGATGGCGGAGCTCCGGCACCCCTCGGCGGCCACTCACGCTCTCACTTCGTCCTCCCGGTAGAAGATGGGAGCGATGACATCCTTCACCTTGCCGTAGCGCGGCCGCGGCACGCGGTAGACGGGCTCCCTCAGCGGGGGGAAGGCGGCGTAGACATCGAACCACAGCGGCTTCTCGATCACCCCGATGCGGAGCAGGTTGCGGGTCCTGTGAGGGGGGAGAGGAGC